CTTTCAGACGTTTCTCCATTGCTTCCCTGATCTCCTTGTTCAGAATCAAAGAATTCCTGCACTATCTTCTCGATCTTGTATGCATTTTCTCTGTCAATTAAGTCCTTGGAATTGCCGCTACGAAATATTTCTATCAATTTCGGGATAAGTCCAGCCAAAGAAACGGCCAAGGTTTTGGTCACATCGTTTAAACTTGTTTTCCCATAAACCAARATAGAAAAGTATGTCAAAAACAAAAATGAACCAATTATTGCGATTTTTACGAACATTATAGTGTAAGTCTTGCTAAATGGCAGGATTTTATCGACAACTTTCTGGAAAAGGACACTCAGTTGGTCAATCCTTGGCACYCCTTCGTTATCCACTATTATGACCTGTCTGTTTTCTTTTTCTTGGTATTCTTTGCATTTGTCGAAYGTTTGGTTAAGGAGGTCTTTATACCTATTTCCAACTGAGCTGAAACAGTTCCAAATGTAGAAAACGAAAAGAGAAAAGAGTGCAATAAGAGGTAAATAATCATCCTTACTGGCCACTATTCCCATGCAAAGATAACTTATGAGTCTTGCAATTAACAGTAGCGAGCGAGAGACTATTTGCGCAAATGACAATCCTGTAATAACCATTATAACGAGTAGAACCATGCAAAGTGCAAAACGGATACAAACAGCAACGCTTTTTTTTCCTGGTATCTTTTCCAGTGTACTAACAAAGCGATAGTAAAACCACAAAAAATAGATATTTGCTTGTCTAATGAGAATATGAATGCTGCGGCCCAACGGTGAGATATACCAACCATATCCAATGAAAATCAATACGAAAACGATGGGAAACAGGAGAAAACTGCATACAAATTTAATAATCTTTAAGCAAAGAAAAGTTTTAAAATCGAACAGTCCTTTGAAGCCAAAACAGAATTTCATGAAAAGATCTCTAGCAAAAGAACACGGTTTCATCCAATCCACTTCGAAATCTTGGCTATGAGCATTACGAATTAAGGAATATTCCTGCTCTACTATTTCCTGGCAATCAGCAGGTGCAGAAGAAAAATCAAAGTTTTCATATCTTGGAAGTAAAGAAACAATTAACAGTCCAATGTTATAAGCAACAGCTGCAAATACTGCATCAGAAACATTCTTTTCCAGCCAATTCTTTCTCACTGCATCATTAAACATCTTTGGAATGTCATATTTAGCGGTGTAGACTATGAGACCCCAGTCAATATAGAACAATGTGGGCAGTAAAAAAACAATAAGCAGTTTTCTTATACAATTTGCAGAGTAATGTCTGTTTGAACAATGACGTAGTTTTTGGACAGCAAAGTTCGCCATACGATAAAATGGACTGCGAACTTGTACGTTGGCGCTCATTGTTTGAGAAGTGTCATCTTTATCAGGAAATCGAACTGAAACAGCGGGAAAACAACCAAAAAAAATTGTTGCCACAATTATTATTGTAACAAAAACTCCTGACATCTCTGGATTAATAGAAGCAGGAATGTTACATTCAATTTTCTGCGTGTGAAAGTTTTTTTGGCAACATTTATATTTCACCGAGGAATTGAAATTGACGACATAACACAATGCACCTCTTTGTTGACTGACATTAGTTAAGAATGCTGTGGCCAAACTCGCTGTAACGCAACTGTAAGTTATGTTCTCCAAGCATTTTTGCGAACCAAATTCTACCATTACTGACATATTGCGCACTTTACGCCATAAAGTCGTCAATGAATAAACATTGAAACCCAAATCTAGCGAAAGGAATGGAGCTGCGGTGTTTTCGACCCACACAAGATTCACTGGATCCAAGATCTCTGTTTCTTTTGGTTTCTGAAGCCTCGATAAACTATTTCCGTGAAAATGCACAAACAAGGCTTGTGAGTTGTCTAACGAGAAAGAGTTAAACTCGTTCACGGATGAATTTGGTAGAATAACATCACATCTATTCTGGCATGGTGTAGTATGACGCACAATTCCAGGTGTAGATGTGTTGAAATCCAAAAGTGCATTCATGAAAGTTAAGTATCCAACAGCTACAAGCAGGACCAGAGCAGTGTAGTGAGCCGCTGAACGCCAATAGAGTTCCAAATACATTTTTAGTTGCCTACAGCTAGAGATAGTACAAAGATGTGGCAGCCTTCTGTGTCTGTTGTTCCAAGAAATCTCGTGATTTTAGATCGTGATTATTACGTTTGCACGATGGCGTGACACAACGCTTTTGACATGGCGGAAATAAATTTGAATCAAAAATCTTCGACGTTTGGAGCATAAATAACAAAAGGTCGATATGCCAATCTTTACGTCTAATATAAACTAGTCGGACTAGCTATTTTTGAAAATTGATAGACACGAGTGAAAAGATTATGATGTCATATTTTGTC